TCCCCCTCCCCCCACATAGACCTACCTGGAAGGAGCTGCTCTCCATTGTTGCCTGGCTGCCATGTGCATGTGCACACACGCACGTGGCAGCCTCTAGCAGGCTGGAACTCTGCCAGCCTGCAAAGGGAAACCTGCAGTTTCCCAGGTTTTTTTCCTTTAAAGAAGAAAGTCTGCATTTTTCCATGGCAAATGGAAAACCTGGATCCCTGCTGATCAGCTCTTGTCCCTTCCCTGCTGGGCTCTGGAAGCCCCATGAAGGACAAGACTTGACAGGCACTCAACTGAGCCTGGGGAAGCTCCCAGTGAAAGGGTGCTCCTCTCACTCTACAGCTCAGGAGAAGGGAGAAAGGAGAAGCTAAGACCTGAGATCCAAGTACAGCTCCTTGATTTCCTGTCCTAGCCCTGGTACTGTTAAATCAGGCAAGGTAGGAAGGCATAGGAGCCAACTGCATCATCTGGATGCCTTCTGGGGATGTGCTTTCCTTGGGAGATCCCTGTCTGACTGAACACTGCAGACCTGGGCAAATCCATGCAGCCCCATTACCTGTTGAGAATGAGCTGCGTTTAGGCAGAAAGCGTCTCACTGGGCTGCAGTGTTCCCTTTTGGATACCTGGCAGTTGTATTTATGTAACTGTTTCTTAACTCTCGTTGCAGCCTTCTGATGACGAGAACAGTGACAATAGCAATGAGTGTGTTGTGTGCCTGTCTGACCTGCGAGACACCCTCATCCTGCCTTGCAGGCACCTGTGCTTGTGTAATTCCTGTGCTGACACCCTGCGCTACCAGGCCAACAACTGCCCTATCTGCCGTCTGCGTGAGTATGCCCTACAGAGGAGCACACGTGTCGGCAGCCAGTAGTCTCCTAGTTTGAGTACACTTGGACAGGGGTGGTCCCAAGGTCCAGCAACACAAGAATCTTGGGCATCGAGTCTGGTAACTGGTAATCAGCACCTCTTCCCTTTTGCTCAGTTAGTGGGGGGTAGAAGAGCAGATGCACAAAGCTGGATTAGCACTTGGGATCCTGGCATCAACAAAAACAACCCAAGTTTTAGTATGGCTACATAGAGAGTGAAAGACAGCTGAATTCCAGTGCTTAACACCCCACCCCGGAGCACACCAAAGGCATGCTAGTAACCATAGGTGTGACCTAGGTAAGGGACTCTGTTTCTGGCCTTCCCTACATTCTGGCATACTTTAGATGGTCAGTATCTCCTAAGTAACAGCATCGGCAGAGGTGCCTTGTTTGCTATGGTTTCTCTCCCCATCCTGCACTGCTCTCAGTACAGAACAGCCACCCTCTCTAGCTAATCCATTTGGGACAGTGCACTTGGAATTGGGTTTCTGAAGAGAATAAATTTAGCGTTAAAAGAATTCCAGACTCCAAGCTCTGAGGGATAGATGTGGTAATTTCCATTACCTAGCTGTTAACCTGAATCTGATTTGTAGACAAAAAGTGTCTATTCTGGTTTGGGAGGAGAAGTCAGTAGTGTCTGTTGTGAAGAAATCCTGATTCCAAGTTAAGTTTAGTTGCCCTCTCCCCTTTTTAGGCAAGGGATCAGTAGGGGCCTGCTCTGTGCTAAGCCACTTTGCTTGACTGTCTTTTTGAGGGTTGAAGATCCAGGTGTTACCATGTGCTGACAGTGTAATGTAATTGAGGACCCCACCCCCACAACCTTCACAACTCTGAAATATGGTCTGCATTTAGAAGAGTGAAATGTTGATTACCTGGGATAGGAACCTCTTCTGCTAGACAGCTGCGCTGGCTCTGCATAATGAGTCAAAGAACCACTCTCCTGGCCAGTAATTGGCCCGCTTCTCGGCCATCTCAACAGAACCTCTGGACACCAGTAGGTTCTTGAAGACTAAACACACCCCATATGCAGGCACACATGAGAGAGGTCTTGTGACAACAGTGGGACCTGACTTTAGAGAAAAACAAGTACAGTAGAAGCTTTGTTATCTGGCACCCACGGGGAATGGAAGGTGCTGGATTACAAAATATGCCGGATAACTGAGCAGCCTGAACAGGCATCTTTGCCTGTTCAGGCTGTTGCATGTCCCTCCATATCTGGGGTGTTGCCGCCCCTCCTGCCACATCGCTGCCCCTCCTGTGGGCCCCAAGGGACAGGGAGGGGGGACCCGTGCAGGCTGCTATGTCCCCGGGCCGTGGGGGCTTGTCAGTAGAGGCTGCTTTCCCCTGGGCCCCGGGGGCTCTGCGAAACCAGAAGTGACACAGTGGGCACTTCCCGTTTCACTTTTCCCTTACAAGCCCTTACAAGCTGGCATGCCAGTTAACAGAGCATGCTGGCTTATAAGGTGCCGGTTAACACAACTTTTGCTGTAAATGTAATTCAGCCTGGTAACCTCCAGATGATTCAGGCCATGAATGCTTGGCTTGCTGAAAAGTATTATTTGGGCTATCCAGCAAACGCATTGATTTTACCTGTCTCTAACCATTAAGACAGAGCACAACCTACAGCCATAGCCAGCTGGTTCCAGAGAAGCCTGCAGTCCAGACTCGTGTCTGCTTGTTTTTCTCTGAATCATTCCACTTAATCCGACTGTGTGTCAACCCAGCAGCCTTATCTGGAAGAGTAGAGGGGGTGGGCATATCTCTTATATGAGCAGCACAGTTCCTCACTAAGTAAACTGGCTCCTGTCACGCTTGAACATCAGTGTTAACTCATTTGCATTATATTAAATCAGTGAAGCTGTTGCAAGCCCATGGTTTGCTCAACTTCTGTTACCAAAGGGCTTTTAGTCTGGCATATAGATATGTTAAACCCTTACCACATCTGCTAATTCAGAACCTTTTAAATGAAAAAAAAAGGTGGATGTAGAAGTAGAGTATTTGCTGCCTTGTTTCCGTCTAAGTGCCCTGTTAATATTTCAGCAGTTCCCAGGAATAGGATGGCAGATGTGTCCTTCTGCTGTAAGTCAATCAGATGGGGTTACATTTCTTTATACTGGAGTACAAGCAGGGCCTCTTCTCTGGCTTCCAGAGCCTTCCTACAACATTTGTTCCTCTGAGGAGTTCAAAGCTTTTAAACCAGTTTCTGTCTTTTCTTGTGCTAGCTGGGGTTGTAGTGCTGACTGCTTTATCTGGGACAAAATATCCCAGCATCGTGCTTTAAAAAAACTGCAGCGGGTGCTTCCCTGATGATTGTGGACCACCTCAAGGATCAGCAGGGATCAAACTGCAGCATCAGATGTATTGAACTCAGCCTATACCCCTTGCCTCTTCACTGTTTTGCCTCCAAACTCTGCAAACACATTTACAGTCACTGCCTTGAGTTCCTTTCCTCCTGCTCTGTCTTAGATCCATTCTAGCCGGCCTTCCATTCACCATCTTGAATTGTATGAAGCTCAGAACAGAGACTGGCTTTATGTAGGCTTATGGAGAACCCAGTGACCCCTGCTCCTGATGGGAAGTTACTGCAATTTAAATATTTCATAGTGCCCCCAAGTGCTGCAGAAAAGAGCATTCTGTCACCATAGGGCTCAGGTATGCACAGAATGCCACTGGATTCTTTAAAAATAATCTGTAAAGGAAAAAAAATGGAGGATTTTTCCTTTTGCTACTTTAAAATGCTAGAAGAAGCAGAAGGATTTTTTCTGTTTGGTTTTTAACCTTAAAAATATCTACCTCTTCTCTTTCTTTTTTTTTTAATCTGTCAGTATCCTTGTAGAACTAGAGAGCTGGAATCAGGAATTTTAATTGAAGGGAGGACATATAAATCTTTATAAAAAAGACATTTAAATAGATTCACTGAACATCACTTCCTTTCTCATTTTTGGATTTCACCTCCTTGGTATGTGTTATACCACCACAGAGTCCTCCAAGAGCAAGCACAGAGGTGCAGTCAGATCCAAAGTAACTTGTGCTGACTAAAATATATATGTAGCCATGCAAGGCCTAGCTTCATATATTTTTGTGCTGACTGATGGTTATGACACACTGGACCCGGAGTCCACCTCTCCAATTAGGGTTCTCCCGTATACCATCACCTCTGTACTGTAGGGGGCCACCACCTCCTCGGGGTTTGCATTCTTGTAGATACTGGTACACCCCCCCAATGGCTCGGGGTTTCCCTTTCAGTGCATACAGCTGTTGCTCGGTTGACATACCTGTTGGGGTTGCTCTGCTTTGGGCAGTGGGCCTTGAGGTGGCAACTCTTCCTATCCAATCTGGGGAGAGTGACTGAATCCGGGGCCACCCAGTGCTTGGCAGGGGGAGGCCCACCCTCCTGTTTTGGGACTGGCCTGCCCTTCTCTTTTTGGACCCTTCCTGGTTCTTCCCAAAGTGGGTAGGCTTTCTGCCCAGCCCCTCACGGTTGAGCAACAGCTGATCTGCAATTAATGCTGCCGCCATGGCTGTTTTGGGATCCTGGTCCTTGATGAGGTGTTTAATCTCTGGCTAGAGATTTCTAAAGATGAGAAAGCAGTGAGCACCACTAGTGGGCTCTAAACTGACTTCATATCACTTTCTTCCTACACACTACAAAAATCTTTCAAGCCTTCCCTAGGTGTAGTAAAGAAGCAAGAATAATCCTAGTTGTTTCTTGGTTTTTGGGTTACTTTAACAGGATGGATGGATCTTGAAAAAAAATCCCTTGGAAAAAATAGTATCTAATCATGTAATTAAACTGTCATAATGCATGTACATAAAGGAGTTGAAATAAGGTTATACCGGTAGCATTAATTCTGGTGTTTCTTAAAATTTATGTGCCTGACTTGGTAACATTACCACTCTTTAAATATAGTGTAGTGCTTGGTTCTTTTTAAACATTGTTTTCCTATGCTTTTTAAGCATTAAAACCAGAAGCATTGTATCACCTGGAACTGTGCCAGTCCTGGTATTGGTCACCCACAGGGACCTTTAGATCCATAGCACAGACCAGTTGAGTAACTGGGAGCACTAGTAGTCTGTTATCCTCTCTGTGGACAAGCCACTAGACTGAGTATGTGACATGCTTTGCTGATAGATTTCAGAGCTGTTTGCTATCAGGAAAGGAATGTGAACGTAGAGACTCAGGATGTAGGTTCAATTGCAGGTGGCAGAGGAGAGTGTCCCATAGTAGTCATAACACATTTTTGTCTGTCTTGGCCACTGTGTCTGTCGCTTCTCTTGTTCTCTCCCCCATTATACTCCTCATCTATTACTGATCCTGTTGTCCATCTCACTCCTTTGTCAGCCCTTGTGTTTGACCTGCCCCACTCCTCACAATCTGATACGTGAGTTAGGGTGCTGCCTCTTCTTCCTCCACCTCTTCACTACTGGCATGTCAGGAGGGGGAACACTGAGAGCCCAAGACCTGTATGTAGCGTTCATCTCTCTTCTAACACTCGGTGCTGGAGTAGACTCTGACTGTCAGGAGGGGCAGTATCTAAGACCTGCTTAATACCCAGCAATACTAGAATGGAGCATGCTTGTTTGTTGTCTGGGGATGAAGATGTGCATTCTAGTTAACACAAAGGTGCTTTGTGAGATTGACATGTGCTCAGGCTAGTCTGCACATAGGGGATGGAGCAGTACAGACAGAACTTAGTTGCAAGCCTTTAACAAGACTATCTTGACTATACAATATTGTGATTTTTTTTTTTTAGAAGTTTGCACCTTGACCAAATTTGAGAAAACCTTTATAGGATGAGAAAAAGCCCATCCCTGATGGAACAACACACTTGCTAAATGTTAAGTCCCTGTTCCAAAGCATAAAGACACTAGAGCTTCTCAACAAAACAGTTGTAGGAATTTGATATGTAAAATGGAGAAATAATATATTTTGCCATAAACATAACCTTACAGCTAGCTGAATAATAATTTTTCCTAAACTTGCCAGAGAGAGTTTGTCTGAGGCAGATAGCCTGGGAAATCTCAGCCTGAGTAGTTAAAGGTTGGCAAAGTTTATAAATAACCAAAATCAGGATTTTGTAATGGAAAGTGTCAGGCAATCTCCACTATGAACAAAGTTACCAGCTCTTCCTGAACATAAGGTTGGTGCTGTTAGCTTACCTGTAAATGCTAAGAAGAGAGGTGGATTTGCCAGAGAAAGGACCCATAATATCAGGCTTGCCAAGGATCTGCTTCTTGGGGAAATGCAGAATCAGTACGGACATCACATTCCCTGTACTGGCTTAGGCTGTCTCTTCTAGCGGCTGAATGGAGTAGGAAAACATATGACTGGGCTGTTCTTAGTCTTTGTCTTCATTAGGCTGCTTCTGTCACCAGAAGTTTTAACAATAGACAGGAGCCGCTCTAGGGAAGCCATCAGAGTGTGTACACACCCCAGTAGTTTTGGGTGGCTCTACACAGCTCTAACTGGACCTGTACAAAGGATGTTCTCTGCAGTGAAATAAAGAATTTAGCCACTGAGAGTCTTGTGTGTGGGGATGAAACAGGACCTGCCTCAGACCATCTCACAGATTTCTTGATTGGGGTTTGTCATTATGCCTGTTCTCTACTCCAACTTGTGAACTGTTCACTCCTTAATGCAGTTATTACCAGAAATACCACACTGACACAGTGTGAGACACCCCCCCGCCCCCCCAACACACACACAGCACTGAGATGCAATGTGAGGAGCAAAATCATCCCCAGGTTTTACAGAGTAGCTTGCAATGGGCTGCAGATCCCCTTGCCCTGGAGGGATCTGCCCTGGAGACTTAGGGTCCAGCCGCTAGTGGGCTGGGCTGGTAGAGGATCTGCTAGGGTCTTGCTTGCTTTTCTTCCTACTTCTCAATAAGTAGCCTCGAGGCTGGCCTCATCCTTACATCTCTCAGCGCTAATGCAGCAATAAGCATGACAACCTGCCTGCCTGATGGCAGTCTTCCACACCTCTGTAACCTTGCTGTGTCACTCCAAGGCATTTGTTCCTTGTAGCTGTGTCTTTGTCCATGCATTTCTGTGGGGATCAGCACAATGTACGGTAACTAATAACATATAACACCTCCTGTCCTCCAGCCAGGCATCTCACTAGCACTCGGGAACTTACTTGAAAGAGGTTGTTAGCCATGTTAGTCTGAAGTCAGACAGAAGGCAGGATAGATTTGCACCTTGAAGACATATAGCATCTGATTAAGTGAGCTCAGACTCAAAAATATTTATGCTATATGTCACAGCAGCACTGTGCAGGCATCCCAAGCTGGCTCTGCAGGCACTAGCTTTGGAACCAGGAGCAGTACAGGCATGACTGTAGTCTACTCTCACACTAGTTAGTTTTCCTTGACAGCTACTTCAGAGCATCCCTATATTGGCACTGCGTTGTGCAGCACAGATGCACCTTCACTGACTGACACAGCCAGCCCTGGCAGCCTTTGGTATGGCTGTATTCAGATACAGTAGAACTTTCTATTGATGTGAAGCTCAGTTTTCGTCCACAAGGTCATTTATGGGAGTGGTGCCTTCCAGGACAGGGGATGGGACTACATAGTCACTCCTTGTAGCTAGGTTGTATCTCCATCAACATATTACTCCTGTCTCTCATTCTTATAGCAGCACTTGGCTTACACTTGTTCAGTTGCCAGAGTTTGGCCTAAGAATGGTTTACATGTCTGTGTCTTGCTCTCTAGGTCCTAATTTGATTAACTCTTCTTGCTGACAGGGTATCTGAGCAGGGTCCCTGACTGAGTGGCTGTGTGACCTGACCCTGTGACCCTGTGTAACCTGACCCTGTGACATTGCTGTGGCTGTGCAGTCTATGTAGTCCAGTGGTATAACTAGGGTAGGGCAAGTGGGGCAACCACCCTGGGTACTGACTTATTGGGAGAGGGCAGGCAGGGGTGCAAAAGCAGCTGTGGCTGTAACCAGAAGTTGCCATTGTCCCTGTGTCCTGGGTGCCTGTCTACATCCCTTTGCTACTGGTATAGTCACTTCTATAATGTTCCCTCTTAGCTTTCCGTGCCCTGCTGCAGATCCGAGCTGTGAGGAAGAAGCCTGGGGCTTTATCACCTGTCTCATTCAGCCCTGTCCTCGCCCAAACCATGGACCATGATGAACACTCTGTAAGTAACTTGCAACCCTGTACCCAGTGCCTGTGACCATCTTGACAAGGAACCAGAAATCGTGTTGTCCACCTCTCTTACCCCCATCCCCAGGTTCCATCTTGACTGGTTTGGCCCATTGATGGATGTCCTTCACTGAGGCTATGAGCCAAATTTCTGGGAGTTGTGTGAGGCCTTCCTACTCAGAGTAATCTCAGACTTGAGTATTCATTTCTCCTGCCATTGACCGCTTTCCTTGGGAGCCCTCTCCCCTGCCACATACTTTATGTATGGTGAAATTGGACCAGCCACAGGATTACAAATCTGGTTCTGGTTGGTTCTCCTTTTCCTTCTTAGCCACCAGATCCAGAGGAAGAAAAATCCCAACAGGTGCCTTAGCAAGAAGAAGGTTCTGCTCAATCCTGGAGAACAATGGTACAGCAGGGCAGGAGAAGGGCTGGTTAAAGCCTGAGATCATGGAAAATTACACTTTAAAGTGTATTTTAATGGAATGCCCTGGTGTTCAACTAAGATGTAGGCATGCTAGCTGGAAACCCCATTAGAACAAGCTCTCTATGAGTGAGCAGTGGGCCTATGGTACAGCAGCCAGCCGAGTGAGCCCTGCTGCTATATCCCTGAACAAGAGATCATACAGCCAATTCCCAGAGTGTGCGTAAAAGAACAGTCGAGTTAAATCTACTCTCCAAATGAAGAGGGTTTCCACCATCCTCCTTGCTCTGGGTAGTAGGGAAGAGTGGGGAAATCCAGATCTGAGGATATAAACCCTCCTTAGTCCTCAGCCCACAGAGTAGGATCTGACTTAAAAGTCAACCCTGCTTTGAAGCCAGGGAGAATGTCTCAAGGGTTAGCACTTTAAATCCCAACTAGTTCCTCTGCACAGGGCCCTACAGAGGAACAGATCATATCTGCTGGAACTAGGGTGCCCAATGCCATCATGTGTCCTTCAAATGTAGCACCATTAGCTTGATGGATGGCCTCCATCAGGAATGAGCTGTAGGTGAGAAATCCCCAGTCCATTGTTCAGGGTTTAGAATTTGCTCTCCTGGCCCTAGTTCAGTGATACAGATTTATTGGTCGGCCCCAAGATACTGGTGTCTTATAGTGTATAAACCATTCTTACCATCCTGCCTACTTACTTTGTTGGCTTCAGTCCTGAATGCTGGCCCTATTTACTGCCCAGCAGTTAGGTTTAAAAGCAAGCTAGATACACCTTCTTGACTGGTTGGGAGCACTTTGCCCTCCAGGCCTGGATTATCCTTTTGAAAACTCTCTTGACTTAGGGATATGCAAGGAAAGTCACTCCAGACAAGTAGATGCCAGAAGGAACATATTGGACTTGGTACCTCCCTGGCCTAGCTGAGCTGGGCAAATTTCATCTTTAAAACTGCCCCAGGACTGATTTCTGATCTGCAGTCATGTTCCAGGGCTTTGCTGGAAAAAGGGGTGAGAACACAAAGAGATCCATTTTGTTTGGATGCTACTTTTTGCAAATGCTAAGTAGTCTGGCCCCAGAACTTGGGATTTGGGATGTGACTGTTATTTGATGGGAACAGGAGGGTGTATTCATGGTATTCTTAAACAGTTCAGTTAAAACCAGTTTTTATTCCCCCTTCCCCTGTGGTATAATCAACCAGCAGTTTTGGGTAGGGCTGAGAAATGGGACATGAAACTAACCCATTAAGGGTCCCTGCTGAAGCTGAGAGCAGTGTAAGAAGATAACAAGTAGTATCACCAAGAACAAGCTGGTCATATTCATGCGCACGATCTCAGGTCTTAGTGGTACAAGAAAGGAAAATCCTTGTTTACAATATGATTTTTTCTTGACAGTGTCCCTTTAAAAATCCCAAAGTGAACACTGTCACCCAGCCCAGCAAGAAACCTAAAAGAGAAACAGTAAGTGGACTTGGTCACATTTGGTTACTACAGTAATTACTCACCAGGAGTCTCACTAGCATGGGAAACCATTTTACATATGAGGGCTTGCTAATGCTCTAGGCTTAACTTACTCTTCCTGCATAAAGTGTAAACACTCCAACCACTGGCTCCATGTTAGTTACAGTAGTACTCTCACCCCCTCACAGATGCTCACTAACCCTCACCTGCTCTACCAGAGGGGAATGATCAGTATCCTCTTTTTGATAAATTAAGGTATAGAGAAGTTTAAGAGACTTGCCAGAAGTCACAGTCACTGAGATTGGCACACAGGATTCTTAGCCCCCAGTCCTGTGCTGGGTCTCCCTTTTTGCTTATTTTCCTGGCTCCTTAGGACTGTGGGTAAGCTGGTGTTCCTCCCATGAGATCATTTGGTAAAGCGTGTCCACATTTGTCTGATCTCTTTGGAGGTTTTGCGTGGGCATTTATTTTGATAAATGCTCACCTCATGCTCTGAGATGCCAAGACTGGTAGTAGGCAGAGCCAAGTCAAATCTTAGGTACAATAAAGATCAGTTTGCTTTTTTGAAAGGTGCGTCCTTTGGAGAGTTATCGAAAAAGAAATCTCCAAACAAAACAGGCTGGTCTATAAAGATGCTGTCAGCAGAATAAGATTCAAGTAGAAGGCAGGTTATGTTTGCACCTTATAAACCAGCCAAAGTAAATATATATCAAGCTTTTGTGAGCTCACACTTAGGGACAGCATTGTGGTATGTGTCCAACAAGAGGGTGTCATTTCTTAAAGACATTTTTAATTTTCCATAACATTCTCAGGACCCTGGTAGCTGCTAGCTGTAAAATTTGCCTCAGTCAGTGCTGGGAAGAAAACCTGTTGGTTAGGTGTAAACCTATTGGTTACTATCTTCTTAGCATTTCTGTCCCTTGAAACAGTGGGCTAAGTCCTATTCCACCTATTATGCATCTATGTGACATGTAAACTTTTAAAGGTCTAAGTACAGTCCTATACCACACTGCTCGAGTTCTTCAAAATATATTACTTTTGTAATGAGGCTTTGTCTTCGGTGCTGTTTTTTTTTTAGTTTAGTCTTAAGGCTAAGAAGAGGACTCACTCACCTGTTGCATTAATGTTTTTTTTCTGGACCTTGCTTCCATGACTTCCAAACCCTGCACATTGCTTATCTTTTTCAGTACAGAAATCTTGGCACTGATATGCAGCACAAAATAAAACAGCTGGAGCATCTCAGTCAGTTCCAGAAGAGATGCTAAACTGAGCATATTGTTTGCACTATTGCTTAACATAGTGAAATTTATTGGATGGCTGCAGAACCCAAGAGCCCCGTTACAGAATAAGTGACTGAGCTCAAAGGGCCTTGATGATAATTATCAGTAATTTGGTTAAATTAACAGGGGTTTAACTGCTTTTGAAGGGCCATTGTAACAGGGCACGTACCTTGGTGCCTGTTACAATTAGGAGGCTTCACCCAATATCTGTTGAAGGCAGAAAACTTACCTGCATATGAAAGGCAAATTAAAAGAATGGGGCTGCATGTGCCATCAGGATCCAAGGTGTCATTGATTGCCTCTTGCACTGCTGGCGGCGGGGAAACGTGTGGGAATGGTACCAGTTCTTGTTGATTCCAGGAGGAAACGTGAAAGTTAAAACCTGAGTTGGACCAGAGAGTCAGTTACCCCAGAGAGGGGATGCACTGGAAAGCAGAAGTTCGTGCAAGCCATGTGGCGGCATGGCAGCTTAACTAGATTTACCAATACAAGAACCAGGAGACATGGGGATACACATACCTCAGATGATGGGACAATGCGAGGATCCTTCATTCATGTGAGGGGATGGCAATCACTGGTGAGTCCAGCCTACTTGGGTTTCCTTCCTGAGGGAAAAGGAGGAGAGGGGTCAGCGAACTGAGGATCCTTGTGTCGTCCCATCATCTGAGGTACATGTATCGCCTTTGGTTTGGCTTCCAGGCTGTCTCCCCGTCTTTGTACCAGTTAAGCTGCCATGCCTCTGCACAGCTTGCGCAAGCTTCTTCTCTCCAATGCATCCCCTCTCCAGGGTAACTGACCCTCTGGCCCAACTTGGGTTTTAACTTCTGGGTTTCCTCCCAAAACCAATAAGAATGCTCCCACGTTTCCCCACTGCTGGCGGTGCAAGAGGCAATCAATGACACCTGGGATCCTGATGGCCTGTGCAGCCCCATTCTTTTAATTTGCCTTTCACATACAGGTAAGTTTTCTCCCTTCGACAGGTGTCAAGTGAAGCTCTCCTAACTGTAACAGGCACTGAGGTGTGTGCCCTGTTACACAGGCATCTTTAATTTTTGGAATCCAGTCAGTTGAAGGGGAAAAACGGGGACTTGAAATGGTTCCATAGCTTGCACCTTTCCCCAGGTTCCTGCCAATGTATGTGGCTTTACAATTGTTTTCATAATTCTAAAAAAACCCAACACATTGCATGGAAAGACTCACCCAAACAGAGGGAACTGAGTGGGAGAAACAGTAGAAAGGACTGTCAGTGTACAAAGGAAAAAAATGGTAAGGCCTTATATCTGCTCTTGTTCTACTCTGCAAGGACCTTGGCTGCTGTCTAGAACAGTCATGTTCACAAAACTTCAAGACAGAAGGGATTTTCTTTTAAGCCAGAGTATCCCCTTAACCATTGAGGAAACCTAGAGCTTGCTTTACACACAAGGCAGCATAGTGTGCAATAGCTCTGCAAGGCCCTGCTTTCTCTCAGTCCTCCCTGTGGAGCTCCTGCTTGGAACGGTTGCTGAAATGGCAGTAGAGGTGACAAGCACCATTCATAAAGGTGACAAGTTTCAGTCTCAGTGAGATGGTGACTTGGCTCTTTTCTGAGCACTGTTTTGGGAATTGATCTTGAACTTACTTGAAGTATACTGTAATTATCCTAACAGTGTGCAGCCATTCCAGGAGGGATGGCTGAGGCTTGCTTTGGAGTGGTTTCTGTGGTGATGGGCTGCCTTAGGAAGCAATGCAGGGGGGTCTTTAACAGTGCAGTGCCAGTGGGGTGTGGAACTATGTGGTGGCAGGGTTTACACTGTGTTTGGCTTGGGGGGGTGACCTGCCATGCCCTATCTTTCTCACCTGCAGAATTCTGACAACATTCCTCCTGGATATGAGCCCATTTCCCTGCTGGAAGCTTTGAATGGCCTCCGTTCCATCTCACCATCCATTCCCTCAGCTCCTCTGTACGATGAAATCAACTACACCGGTGTGGTGGATGGGCTGCCCCCGTCTGGCCGACCTCTTGTTGGGATTGACAGAGCTGTGGAGAGTGGTCATCAAAAGAACAAACGAAGCAAGTCTCCAGATAGGTCAGCAAAGGAATAACTGAATCTATTCCTCCATAGGGCGCTTCCCAGCAAATTCCCTAACTGTTGTCTCCTCCATGGCTCAACTAGCCAAGCATAAGCCCATGTCTCTGTCTTCTCTGTCTCTCTGGTGATGGCACCAGTAACTCTGCTGCAGTGGGTGTGACAACAGCAGCTCCCTCTGCTGCCCATTGTATTGATTGTTGAAGAAACTGGGAGGGTTGGGGTGTCTCCTGCATGTTTCACCTTAACAGTGTTTGCAAGAGGTCTCATTTGGAGGTTGCATATTCCACTGAAGAAAGGTGAATCTTTAACTAGCAGATCTCTTCTCCCAACTGTTAATTGGGCATTTGGCCTTAGGTGTTAACAGAACTCTAGAATTTTAAGCAAGCTGGGAAAACATTTCCTTCCAAGTTAACCAGGTCATTCTTGACTTGTTTTTTGCATATCATAAACTTACTAATTCTTGTATGTTCCCTGGAGTCTTTCTGGAGTAAAGGGGAGATGAGATCTGAATTTCTAGTATCAAATCCATGCCTTGTGAGGCTCTCTCTCTGTTCTGCAGGTGTAAAAAATGTGGCTCCTGCAGGGTGATATAGCAACACAAGGTTAGAGCAAGACCAAAGGAGTTTGTTCCTGGCTGTCAGTGCTGTTCTCCAACCACTCCTGACCTTTTCTCTACAGGCACAGTTTTTATCAGCTGCTAAAGAGAAATCTAGATCCCTGAATTCTGCACTCTTGTTCAGACAGAGAATTAAATGGGTCATGTCAGAAATGATTGGTTTATATGTGGAAAGACTTACTTAGATGAGACAGCATGGATTTTACCTCCACTTTCTCTAGACTTTACTTAGACCAGCTTAGTCAAGCCATGTGGCATGTACACCAGCCTCTAGGCAGCCATGTTAGTTAACACCTTCGTTGCAAGTCTGGGAAAGTCCCAGTCGGGAAATTCCCAAACTCTGCCGAATTGCAAACGCTGTCTTCTGGGCCATCCTTGGGGAGGGCCTGTGTGACTCCCAAATGCTCTCTGCTGTGGGACCCCGTACATAGACCTTGGATGACACTGTCTCCTCATTACTGCACCATGTTCTTGCTCACGTCCCTTATAAAGTGTTTCAAGACCTAGAGTTTAAAATCATTATAATATCATTTAGGCATTAATCCAGTTACGTACTTCAAGAGTAAATAGCTACAAGTGTTTCTGTCTCTCTGCTGACTGCATAACACGATGATATGGGGAGTCCCTTTAGCTTTCTCTTGCCCAGTAGCCATCCATGAATATATTAAACTGGTGAGTGTCCTTCCTGGTTTCTTGCAGTTGCAGTTCCTGCATCAGTGTCACCTGGTGCTGGTCAGACCGTAGTTGGAATAAAGCGTGCAATTTTGGGCGCCACACTTCAAGAGGGATGTGAATAACCTGGAGAGGGTCCAGAGAAGGGCCACAGTTATGGTTAAGGGCTTGCAGGCCAAGCCCTATGAGGAGAGACTAGGGCACCTGGACCTCTTCAGCCTCCACAAGAGAAGGTTGAGAGGTGACCTTGTGGCTGCCTATAAGTTCATCATAGGGGCACAGAAGGGAATTGGTGAGGCTTTACTCACCAAGGCGCCTCTGGGGGTTACAAGAAATAATGGCCATAAGCTAGCAGAGAGCAGATTTAGACTGGACATTAGGAAGAACTTCTTCACAGTTCGAGTGGCCAAGGTCTGGAATGGGCTCCCAAGGGAGGTACTCTTTCCTGCCTATGCAGGGGGTCGGACTCGATGCTCTATTGAGGTCCCTTCCGACCCTAACACCTATGAATCGCAGCATGATACTAGGAAATGCTAAGTCTGATGCAAAGGAATTGTGCTCCTGGCTACTGTTTAAAGTAGGCCTCTGTTTTTGTATCCCTGATTTTGCACCCTTAATGAACTGTTGAAGTGAATGATCATGATTCTTTGCTGACATTCATTTGTACATTTCTTGGCAGTTCGGTGCAGCAGTGGGATGGGTGTGGGAGAGCCAATTGGTGCAGGCCCCAAACTGTCTAGCTGAAATGAAGATCCAGGTTGAAAGCAGTGCCATAAAATACATGCCAGCAAGGGGCTGAGAACTAGATGTGATGTTTCTTGAAATCCCAGATCCACATCCCAGTAGGATGTGTTCAGCCCATCATCCTTGAGTTAATGGAGTTGAATTTCTTTGCAGGTGACCACTGACAGGGGCTTCAGATGAAACCTTTGGAGCTGGGCGATAGGGCCCTCTGGGAGGGTGCCAAGCTCTTCTAGAACTCTCTGTGAGGGGCCATACATTACACTTCCCTCTTATCTGTGCACCACTTGACTGCTTGTCTCTGCCCTAGTGTGCGGTTCCAGTTTCTGTGGTACTGTATGTACCTGGTATCTGAGTTTCGTAGCTGGAAGGCACTTATGGGACCAGAACTTACTGTGCGTTGCAGCTTTTTGCAACTTGAATCTCTCTCTCATCTTTTTCCCCAGTACATTAAGATCTCCTTCATCTCCAATCCATGAAGAAGATGAAGAGAAGCTCTCAGAGAACTCCGAGTCCCAGCCAGCACTAAGTGGTGCTGAGCTGGTTTTGAGAGAGGGCAGCTCTCCAGAAGTAAGTCCCCATTCCAAACTCTGCTGCAGGTGCCCTGGCAGCTTCCTGATCTGTGGGCTCAGAGCGACATGTTAGGGCCACTCTACTCTTCTATTTTTGGACCAGGGGAATGGCCTGGGCAAGTTGTGCATCAGGAAGTGTCTTCTGGAATCCCAGGACTTAGCCAGCTGCTTTGGATGAAACCTTTTAATACATGTATGCAAAGGGGACTGGAGTCAGTGTAGATGGGGACCTCCCAGAGAAGCACAGGACGTTGCTCCTTTCCTCTGTTAACTCTACTGGGTCTCTGCCAACCTTCTCTTTGTGCCTTGACTTTCCTATGCTGCCTATGTAAGAAGGAGCCCTTCTTGTTACCTGATCATGGGAGTGATCAGAATGACTTAGCCCAGGGTTGCATAGTGCAACAAGCATTAATTGGAGAGGGTAAAGTCTGTTATTATTTTAAACTCTCCTTCTATTCCCATTATCAAAGAACATTATTCTCATGGAACACTTCTTCCAGAGTTGAAAGGCAGGAAAAGGCCCAGGGCACTGTGTGTGAGACCATTTAACACTGGTAATATTTGTAGTTTGTTGTGCAGTTCACCTCCTGGTTCTTAGCCCCTTAGTGAACTGTTTCCCAAGGTTTGTTCACAAACCCAGCTGGGCACGACCAGTGTCTCATGCTGTAGCCAGTGCATATTAAGACTGACATTCATTCATAGCAAAAAAGCCTTTGTTCCCCATGCCCTAGCACAAGAGAATTCAACAAAGGCCGAGTGCCATCAGCACTAGCAAAGGGGCTATGTTAGCTTCATCTTCCCTCCCCAGAAGTGGATATAGAGAACTTGGGAACTTGGGTGGGTATGCTGGGGACCCTACAGCATCTTTGATGTTGGGGAACCTCCAGGAGTTACTCTGCTGCTGCTGCTGCCAGAGGGATGTTTTCTGCCTAAGGAGACAGACACCCTTGTTCCCCAAGCCAATGATGTGCTAATGTGGTTTTAATGCTGGGCACCCTGTATTATGGCATCAGTTGTATCTAACTGATGTTAGGTACAGCTCTCCTGTGAGCAGTACTACAGGATACTGAATCCAAGGGCAAAGGAGTCTAGCATGCAGAGATAATTTTGCTCTTCCTTTTTACAGAGCATGACAGCTGAAGAAATTGAGGAGGCCTCATCTCTGCAGCAAGGTAAGCAGAGAGGAGTGTGAAGCTGGAAGTGACTGCCCCCAGAGGTCCTGGCTGTTTTGATTTATGCCTGGGCTTCTCCTACTCTGTCTGCAAAGTGTTCCTCAGGGCTCCTAGGCCATCTCCTGGGAGTGTGTTCCCCAGCTTTACAGTCTCTAATGTGCAGGGATCCCTTTGCAGGGGAACAGTTTCAGATTTCCATTTTCCCTTGGAAAGAAGAGCTGGAAAATGGCAAAGCACCTGAAATGCTCTAGCCTGTTATTTCTGCTCTGTGTGATGCTAGTGGGGATCATGTGCCCTCTAGTGCTAGTGCACAAACACAGCCGGAGCCTTCTATACATCAGAGAGCAGGGATTAGAATGACCTGACAGGCTTTCACAAAAGAAATGTGGTCTCTGCCAGAATCCTCAGTCTGGTGATTTTTACAAATGCTTCTACCAGGATTTTTTGTTCCTCAGATTCTGTTGTTAAAACAAATATTCCAGCGTGAGTTTTAAAACTGCTGGTCTCAGAGCAGAGAATGCCCATGTGTCCCTGTTTGGGGGCAGCCAGGGGGGAATGGCTCCTGAATTCCCTTTCTGAGATAGTGTTTTGACCAGGACAGGCTGATGGGTGCAAAGCAGAGAGCCATGGCGTTTGCCCCCACTTAACTAGCACTGTCTCCTTGTTCCTGGCCTACACTATGGGGTTTCAGGGGGAGGAGATGCTGCTTGGTGGCACAGCTGCAAATACTGACCAACAATGGGCAGGAAAATCCAGAATCAGTAAAAAAAAAAAACAAAAAAAACCCAAACCAAATGCCATGGACAATTTTGCAGCAGTATATAGCCTTTTTGCCCCAGGCTGCATAGTGATCAGCCTGAAGATGACTTCCTTTGAGGAGAGGAGTGAAGCATGTTGATGGTTTTCCCTACCAGCTAAGGCACTTTGTTCTCCCCCAGCAAATCATTCCCGTTCCAGCACTGACATGCAATGTGCATTCAGCAGTAGCACAACTCTGGGCCCAGGGTGGAGATGCAGGCTGGGATCCCATTGAGAGGACTGGGCTGTCTCTCACTCTGGTGTTGCAACCAGTGCCCTTCCCAAAGGGCTCAGTGAGGGGAAGTTGCAATAAGAAAGTTTTCCCATATTCTAACCTTGCTGGCAGTGGTTTGTCCCTGGTGGGAGGAAGGGCAGAGCTGTACTGTCTGCCCCCCATCTGCTGCATGAGAGAAGCAGCCATGTTAGGACTGAGTTTTCCATGCTCCCTGCTGATCCAGGTAGCCACCCTCCCTCTGGTGAAGACGTCCTGCAGGAGAGCAGCTGCAGTGAGCACAGGAGCCTTACGCAGTCTGAGAGTGACCTTCCAGTAGACGTGTACCTGCCAGGTAACTGCCCACCCTTGAGGGGGTGCACTGCTGAGGGCTTTGTGCCATACATGTACTTGGGGCAGAGCCAACATGCCTGCAGCTTCTTGCCCTGGATCCTGTAGTCAGGTAGCTCCTTCCCAGTGAGCCTGGTCTTGTTAATTCAGCAAAGACAGGACTCTCCTCAGGCTCCTGCCCTCACATTCCCTTTGGTGGTACATGTCTAGCTGCTGTCCATAGGGTACCCTAGACATGGGAGGTTAGCACAACGGTAACTTGCCGTCTTCTGTCTCCCATTGCTGTCCCCTCCCTCTTTGGATCTCTTTTTCCCCTCGCCCTCTTGTTCTTCTCTTCCCATCCCCTCTCTTCTCTCCTTGCCACCCCTTCTCCTTTCTGCTGTTTGGGCTGCAGCCACTGCTAAAAGACATGATTACACACGTGATGGCAGTCTCCCCATGCCTACCAGTGAGAAACCTCCCCTCTTCCTCCTGCAACCCACTTTTAGATCCATGGGTCAATACGACTAACACTGGCACGTCTGGTAGCCTATCTAATGATGGCCACATCCAATTGGACAGGTCATGGTGTTCAGTCAGCTCCAGCTGTGTGACATGCCCTGAGGGGAAGAACCCAGCAGCAGGCCCTCATCATACCTACAGAAGTACATGGCAAGATATGCAGGCTCCTAGTATTATTGCTTGAGATCACACCAGTTGCCAAGGGAGGGGAAAGACCAGACCTACTTTGCTAAGGAGATGGAACAGTAGGCATTGCTGGCTGGCCAGCCAGGGGGCTGTGACATTGCCCCCTGGGCTGTCTCTTACTAGAGTGGGAGATCAGCCTTTAGGGCATGTATGGGCAGCAAGGAGGATGGAGACAGTATTCTGCCTGTTTTGCAGGCAGGGTCTGGGCTCCTGTCACTAGGATCCTCCAGCAGTGACTTGACTTCCATGGAAGGAGGTTGTTTCTTCATGATAGTCCGAGTGCTGCCCCCTCTCTCCTGTGGCCCTATAGAGTGCAGTTGGGGTGGGGCAGGGTTGTGCTGGTGGGCAGGGCTGTGTGGCACCCATGTACTGAGCTGGTCCCAGCTCAGCCCCAGAAACTTGTGCAGCCTATTTTCTCCTGTAGAGTTGCAGTCTGTTCTGAGCACTTCTCTAATGTCTCCTTCCTTCCTGTCTGCCTTCTCCCTCCTGTCTTGGGCAGCACTGGGTCCTGATTCCTGCTCTATTGGTATAGAGGAGTAAACTGGTACGTCTTCTCATTCTTTGTTATGCACCACTGTATTGTATGGGACAGCAGGAGCCTTTTGGGGAGGGCAGACGTGCTGGCAGGGCTGGAGCCTGGTTGTCCCTTCTCTCTACCCCACCAGTGTGTGCTGCTGTGATGGACACTTCATCCCACAGGGGCCCCAGAGCAGTGAGGTGAGCACATGTCAAGCCAGTTGTCCTGAATTCTGGAGCTCAGCTCAGCTCCCAGCACTGTAGTGGTTGCTCTTTCTAGGCTTGCTTGTGCCTCTGCCAAGTGCTCTAGCCAGCAGCAGCAGACCTGATCCCTTCGTCACGTCTCTGGGCTGGATCCCTGACAAGAAACATCCCTGGTTCCTGATTCCATCCCCAGGGCCAGTAACACCCCAAGGAAAAGCCACCATGCCCATAAGTGCAGAGCACCACTGTGCTCACAGTGTGTCCCTTCAGCCCCCTCACTGTCTCTCACTTTTTTGCCCAAGAGAGGGGTAAATTCAGACTGAGCTACAGGTCTCCGGGGAGCAGGAATCCTGTAGCAGGTCTTTGGGCATCATGTGTTCTAAACATTTCAGTAACGCAGCAGAAAATATGCATCCAGGACACTGAGCTGACCATAGGTGCTTGGCACAGGCAATCTGATCCCAGGCATGTGCATATTTTGCTTGCTGTCGGGGCTGTGCAGAGCCCATGTCTGAGCACGTTCCCTTCTCTGCTCAGGTTCCTACTCCAGGGTCCCCTGCCTCCATGACCTGGGGGGTGGGGTGGAGGGATTAGTTGTAGAGATTGGAGTTGAAATCCCGTGAGAGCCCCACCCAGCCTACCACTCTCAACTTTGTTTCCCAGAAAGAGGGGGTTATTGTGCATCCAAACCCTGCCAGAGTCTTTGTGAGGAGTGTCCTGTTTGCAGATTGCTTTCCTCAGACCCCCAGAAAGTAGCTGTGCCCATGTGCCCCCTCCAGCCCTTTTGACGTGCAGAGCACCACTTACCCTGAACTGCCCCTTGTGGCCAGGAAGCAGCAGTGACTGCAGTGAGGGTAAGCCTTTAGTCTGGACTGTAACTTCTCTGTCACTCCCTTCATTCAGGGTCATCTGATTTCACTACCAAGACCCTTCCAAGCCATGGCGCGAACAGTCCCACTCAGCCCCTCCTCTTCAACCAGACACGTCTGCACCTGGAAGACGAGCAAAGCCTTCCCTGAGACTGTCTGGTCATCTCTGCCCAGGCTACCAGGATCCAAGACCACACACATGAATTCTTCTCTCCCTGTAGCTGTGGGGAGAGCTGCCCTGCTCCAGCTCAGAGCAGTGCACCTAGGCAATGCTCTGATCCTGGCTTCAGTGTGCTAAACCAACGTGCAAGTGCTGTGAGACTTGAAGGCTAGTGTCTCCCCTCTGTCCAGCATCTGGCAGCCTCAGGATCCTAGTACCCACTTTCCTGGGGATCAGAAGATCCCCTCACAGACTGGCACACAACATTTGCACAGATCGGGTTTTTAAGGACATGCATGGTTAAAGTACATCCCCATTTTGATGATCATGGCACCATTCCCCCATAGCGGAGCTGGGTGGGGGTTGGTGTTGGTTTTTATGTTGGGGAGGGGGGTGGGTTTGGGATGAAATGCAGTAAATGAAGGACAGTACCTGTATATTTTGTACACACGCTGACTGAGCACAGCCTTTTGCTGTCACTGTTTCCTTTGTATATAGCTCAGCTGCGGCACTGGCATACCTAAAATCAGCTCTCTCCCATCTCTGTGATGCAACAGGACAGCACCACCTCCCTTACGCTCTGATCTCTGCTTCCATCTGACTTCCACTCTTGCCCAAACCAAGCTGTACTCCGCAGCAAAAGTGGGTTAGCTTCTCCTCCAGGGGCTTCTGCCCCTTCTCTGTGCCTTCCCAGGGAATGGTCTGGGAATGTGGTGGCAGGCTCAAGGCCCCCTGACTGCCTTGCAGCTAATGCTTGCTCCCTGGGGCTCAAGTGGAAGGACCTGAAAGACTGGGCTTCTACCTCCTGTTCAGAGGCACAGGCTCAGGCTGTGCTGCTAAGGATGTGATGCCCACCCCTCTGGAAACCTGCTCCTGGTCAGTCTGTCCTGGCCAGCTGTAAGCAAGATTCCAGCCTTTGCAGGAGGATGACCTGGCCCAGAATCCCCAGGTAGCATAGCATGGAGCTCCCCTCACACCCTGCTACTTGTCCCAGAGCTTGTCCTCCCAGGGTTACAGCTGATGCTAGCCTGAGCAAGTGCCCAGCCCTGCAGCCAGCTTGTCACTTAGGGACCACATGGGGATGTGCTGGGCTGAAGGAGAGGGGTCAGAGTTAGCAATTAATTGAGGGAGTCCCCAGGGCAAGGTCAGCACCTGCTAGGTTCTGCCAGACTGAAACTAGGTGCTGTGCTGAAACTAGGGACGGTAATCTTTGAGCTCCTCAAACATAAATCTCAGCTGTTACAGACCCCTAGGCTCTTCTGCACAATGTCCTGACCAGTGCCAAAGCTCTGGACTGGACAGTTGTGCCCAACCCACAGTGAGTGGTAATGGGTTCCTGGGGCCCGGTGCAAGGGGTGCTGGAGTCACTGGCTCCAGTGAGAAGACCGAGAGTCCCCTAGTGCAGGATGAGGAGCCTGGTTCTTGGTCCTGGGCTGTATGGGGCCAGCGCCTGGGCCAGAGGAGTGGAACCCTCAGCAATGGACTCTACTGGGAGGAGACCCAGGAGTGAGTGATGAGCCATGGCTCACAGGCCCTGGCTGCTTATACATGTCCCTACCCTTCTCATGTGTCCATCCCTGCTGCCTCAGGCTGTGGCAGGGGGTTCTTTACATACAGGACACTGATAGCCTCAGTTTGTCCTCAGGCCACACAGTGGGTTGCCACAATAGGGTGCTGTTGCTGGGCAGAGCCTGGGTTGGACCCCAAGAGCAGGTTCCCATTAGACATGTGGTGATGGAGTTGGAATGACCCTGCCTTGTTGTGTATAGGAGGGCAGGGTGCCTTGGCCTGCACAAACCAGCACCACAGAGACACCGGGCCTGACTGCCTCACTCACAGGGGATTCCTGTCACCGCTGGATCACAGCAAGTCACTCTGATGCAGTGGGAGATCAGCCCCAAGCCTTCATGGATGAGTAGTGAGGTTCCATTGCTCCTCCCTCCCAAAGTATGTGGAGCCTTCCTGTGGAGCCTCCTCCCTCCCAAAGTATGTGGAGCCTTCCTTCCACAGCCCAGGAGATGGAGGATTCCAGGCCACAGTCTGGGCCAGAGGGGCTTGGGGGACTGAGGCCATCACAGCCTGCAGGGTGAGGGAGCCCCTGCACTAGAGGCAGCCTAGTGTGGATTGCAGCTGGGCCTCTGCATTTCCCCAGTTTGTGTGCCAGTGTCGCAGCCTTGTTTGTGCCCTTGCACCCACGATGATCATGTTGCTCAGTGCCGTGGCCTTGCCGTGTGCCTTGTCCCTGCTTTCTGTGCTGTGGGGAGCTTCCCTGCACCTGGTGTTGGCCCAGCTGTGTTCTGGGGGTGGTGTGGGAGCAAGGGCAGCCTCAGGTCTCCCCTTGCCCATATCAGTCCTGTGGACATGGCCACTGCTTGCTGCCTCCTCTGTGTCTCAGCACCCTCCTTCCTAGTGAGATGGTGCCAGGGCTGCCCCTCTGAGCCGGAGCACAGAGCTGTCCATCTCCACAGTGGCAGAGGGTTGCTGCAGGCTTCTGCCAGCCAGGATCCTGTTATTTCTATATTTATAGTAATAAATCCATGCAGCCATACACTCTGTTGTGCTTTCATTGGGTGTTCTCTAGTGTCATACAAAGCAGGCAGCCCGTCACATCCACGGAACACTACTCAGAGCACCTTGTGCCTTTGAGACTCACAAAACAAATGCCCCACAGAGGTGCCAGCACAACAGGGAATCCTCACTGTGCTAGCCACAGGGCACTGGCACCACCTTCCCTGGCAGTAAGGGCAGAATCCTGGTGCCACTGGGAACCAGAGAGCAGCCTAGTTCCTCACTGCAGTATCCTGGATGCCAGGACCCAAGTTGTCTTTGTATTTCCAGAGTCCCTGTTGCACGTCAGAGTCTGTGCACACAATACTGCCCATCCCCCATGTATTGGAGCCAAACACTAGCTCCTGCCTCAGTTTCTCTCTGCCTCCTCCCAGTGCCTTTCTGTCATGTCTCTGAGTTGGCACTAGTGTGGTGGCAGGCCTGGCCACCAGGGGGCACAGTGTCTGCATGCATTAAAGGCTACTGGACTGGCTTTTATTTCAGTGGGGGAAGCTCTGGGTTTGCCCTGTTGACAGGCAGTGAGGTGTAGAGCTCAAGAAGTGCTTCTTTAAGGTGATCAGACCCTGGAATATGGCATCAGGACTGACATCTGGAAGCTGTGGTTTGTGGGCATTTGGCCCTGCCCAGCCAGCGCTGTCCTATACAGAGCTGGCAGGACCATGGTCTTTCAGAGGGCAGGCAAGCTACTTGGCCAGTGCATACACGTTAAGGACTCTGTTCACGCACTCAAGGCTTGGGAACAAGCCAAGCCCCAGTGGTTCCAAAATGTTGGCTTTGTGCTGGGATCTGGGACATGCTATATCTCCCTCTGAACCTGGAGGTCTGTGTTTGCTTCAAGAGCAGCACAGAATCTCACAGCAGCAGCTCCAACGCTATCTGCCTATGCCTTGTCTTGGGTTGGGTGGGCAAACAGCTCTGTTCTTTGGATTCAAGGTCACACTGGTGCTTAGAGCAGGGCTAGTATGAGAAAAAACAATTGCTTCATTAAAAACAGAGCCAGCTGGGACTAGTTGGTTCTCTGTGGAGTAGGGTCACTGCACGGGATAAACATGCTCGGTGCATGGCCCAGACACCCTGCTGAGGCAGAATTGGGACCTGAGATGAGGCACACTCAGTGCATGGCACTAGCACACCAGTGCTGATGCAACAGGAGGAGGGGCAGGTAGAACAGTTCATGAATCTTGGACATAGTGTCTTAGGCTGGGTTCATCTCATGAAAAGGATGCAGCACTTGGCGAGCACATTTCCCTGGGGTGAAGGGGCTCCCTGCTCCTTTCCTGGCATCCCAGGCTGCAGATGGTGTGCAGAAACCTGTCCTGCTAGGTCCAAACTAGGAGCGGGCACTTGGCCCTTTCCTATCTTCTGATTTCTTTAGCCTCTCCAAGTTTCTGAGGCAAAGAAGCCAGAACCCATATACAAGCAGAGGAGAGCTCATAATAATGGAAGGTGAGGGGATGAATGGAGGGGCAGGAGAGGCTGGGAGGTGGGAGGGAATGTGGTGGGCTAGAGAACCAAGAGAGAATATGAAGCCTGGTGGAAACACTGCCTCTTTGAGCATCCACTGTGGAGCGAGAGTCATAGCACAGACTCAAGTCTCCAGTCTTTCTACAACCTCTTGCAAGGAAGAGCTTGTCCACCAGGCTCCTTCCCCTAGTACAGTGATTCTCAACCAGGGTGCTGTAGTGCCTTGGGATGCTGTGTGGTCCTTTGAAAGGTGCAGCAAGATGTGAGCAGGTAAACAGATGAGTCCTGGGTCAGGCTTGTCCCTGCCTAGCCATTCCCTTGCCCCACTGCCTGGCCCCTCTGCAGAGGCCCTGTAATACATAAATTAGTGTTTAGAATGGGTTGCCTTGAGCCCAGCAAGGATGAGAACTGCTACCCTAGTCATCACATCCCATTAGCACCCCAGGTGCCTGCTGGTATCTCCCACAATTCCTCCTTGGGAGGAGAGCATGCCCCAAGCACTTCCACGGCCATGGCACTCAGGGTGGCCTTGTGACAGACTGGGCTGCAGGCAACCTACCTGTTGGCCACATCCTGTCTTTTGGCCAGTGCTGCCTGATGCTGCTCCCTTGCCTTGTGTTACCAGGTTGAGGAGCCACTCTGGTGAGCAGGGTGCAGAGGTGCTGCCTCCTGTGTTCATTAAAGGAGACCACATTCACAGGGTTAGCATGACCCCCACCAGATCCTTTCCTGTGCACGCAGGGACAGAACTTACCTTGAGAGGAGGAGCAGGTTCTCAGTGGCCCAGGGCTTGGCCAAGATCATCAAGGGGGACCCAAGGCTAGGGCTTAGAGCCCACTTTATACCACCCAAGCCCACAAGCACCCTTCTCCCAAGCACACCCTGACCCCTGGGGACAAGTGTGCCCTGTGTTCTGGTGGACTTGCTGGCAAGATGCTATCTACCTCAGCTGTCCTCCTGGTCCTTGTGTTGACCTCAGGCAGTTCAGCCTGTCCTGCTCCATCCCCACTGTACAGTGCCCAGCAAGACAATGAGAGGAGGGGCTGCTGTTGGAACCCAGCACAGCTTTGAATTCACTCCAGCAGGGCAGGTCCCAGCTTGCCTGCATGCACACTAAGCTCAAGGGAGAAAAACTGGTGCAAGGACAGCAGGGTTGGGGCGGCAGCAAAAGGGACAGCTTCCCTAAGGACCTGGTCCTGCACCCCTAGAGTGGGGCAAGGCAGCCTTCCCTTTAGACATCAGCCTCTTCCTGCGGTTGTCTTCAGTGCCAGGCTGGGCCTGGGGTGTGGGGATGCAGCCCACTCTTGCTGGTTACTGCAATCCCTGCCGCCCCTGCCCAGCGCCTGCCCCAGCACACCCTGTGTCTTGGCTGGAAAGGTCCCAGGCACCTCTGACCATCAGGGAAAGGAGATGAAACAGCCTTACAAAGGAGGCCCAGGTCAGG